AAAATTTCAGTGACTTTCAGGAAAATAACCAGATACATAGCATCTAACAAATGTCAGTGATACTCCCAAATTTGAAGACAATGGCTCTCAAGTCCCCTGATGTGACAAGTGACTAAAGCCATATAATTTGCTAAGTTTACTCCTGAAAAAGCTCTAGTAATTTGAAGAGGATTAAACAGCATGGTTTTTGGAAGATTTAAATAAAGGAACTGGGGGCTCATAGCAGTGATTCCTGTTCTACCGCCTCGCCATTAAAGAGCCTGAGTTTTTTACTTATCAGAGAAATCAACTTTATTAAATAATTTAAAACTTTTCCATTTTTAATTAATCAAAACCACATTGCTGTTGCTAAGTACAGCTTCAGATGAATATGAGATAGCTGATGTTACCATACTGATTTGATATAATTCCACTCCAAAGCAATGAAACCTGGAATTTTAGTTAGACTGCATGTTTGTACATTTCCCTTAGGCTTTTATAAATGTTGAAAATTACTTATAAACTGCATTTCTTCCTCTGGGAAACCCCGGGAGTCTGGACCATGACCTAGCTGCCTCCAGCTCAAAGAGCTTCTGAGGCCCGCGGCCTGTCTAGGCTATATTGGTTTGCTCAGGTTGCCATACAAAATAGCACAGATTGGGTGGATTAAGCAATAGAAATTGATTTTCTTGGATCTGAAGTCCAAGATCAAGGTGTTCGGTTTGTCCTGAGGCCTGTCTCCTGGGCTTGCAGAAAGCCACCCTCTCCCTGTGCGTGTCCGGTGCCTGTCTTTTTCTGACCACAGCAGTCGTGTGGGTTCAAGCCCTACCCCAGAGGCCTTGTTTCACCTTAATCACCTTTTAAAAGGCCCTGTCTCCAAATATGGTTGCATTCTGAATTACGCAGAGTTAGGATTTAAACATAGAATTTGGGGGTGTGCCCATCACATGAGGCGTGCCCTTGAGAAGAGGGGAAGCTCAGTGTTCTTAGCCTGGATTGGGTGAGGAGGGCACCACAGGCCCCCAGTGGTTTGCTGTGTAGCCTTGAATGAATCACTGAATCTCTCCAATTCAATTAATTCAATTTCAATTAATTTCTTAACTTCAAGCCTTAGTTCCTCAAATGTGAGGTGAGGTGAATAAGAACATAAAATATCAGGTCCTTTCTATCCCTTGAACTCCAGGGTTCTTGGTGCCCTGGGCTGAAAACCGATTACCATAGAGTTAATGGTTTGAAGCTCACGGAGGGTCCAGGATGGTGCCCACTGGGCACGTAGTGAACGTTCCACAAATGTGGGTTATTACTACCTGCAAGTGTCACCTAGGAGCTTTTTAACCTTCACCCTGTCCCCAGTCTACCCTCCAAGAATATCCTCTGTAGTAGGATGAATAAAGCCCCCTCAAAAGTGTCCACGTTCTGTGTAGCAGAATGGACTTGCAGCTCTAAATTAAGGTTCTTAAAATGGGGGAGATTATCCAGCATGTTTCACATAAGCCCAAGTTAATTACAAGGGTCCTTATAAAAAGGAGATGGAAGAGAAGGTGATACGACCAAAGCAGGGAGAGGATGGAAGATCCTGGCTTTGAAGATGGAGGGAGAAGCCACAAGTCAAGAAATGCAAGGAAGGAAGCTCTGGAAGCTGGAAGAAACAAGGAAATGGATTCTGCCCTTAGTGCTTCTCTAGGAACCAGCCCTGCCGATACCTTGACTAGCCCAGTGAGTGATTTTGGACTTCTGGCCTCTGGAACTTCAAGAGAATAAATGTGTGTCATTTTAATCCATTAATTTTATGTAATTTTATGTAATTTGTTACAGCAGCCATAAGGATCTAATATTTTTCCCCAAACCAATGAGCATCTTCAGAACAGTGAGCCAGCAGTCAGCAGACTTATAAGCAGAGTTATAATTATCCATACCAGCTGATGGCAGGTGGCCCAAAGCAGAATGTATGATCAATTTTACATTTACATTAGCATTGATAATCTTAATGTAAGTATAATAAATGTTTTTTAAATTTTTGGGGGGGCATTGGTAATTAGATTTATTTGTTTATTTATTTTTGGAGGAGATACTGGGGATTGAACCCAGGACCTCATGCATGTTAAGCATGTACTCTACCACTTGAGCTATACCCTCCCCTCTAGTGTAATAATTTAAACAAAAGTGGTAGAGCTTCTTTGAAGTAGGAAATACTACTTTTGATACATAACAAAAATTAGAAAACCCTGTAGTTGGCTTAAGAACAGCCATCAATTATAAAAGCTTTCAGGCTCAAATGAATGTTTCTGTCTATATAGTTTTAGAAGAAACAGTGGTAATCAGTATAAGTCATTAAGAAGAAAACCGTTTTTAGCACAACTCTGTATCAAAGATATTATACCAGCAATTAACAGTTTACTGGATAAAGATAAGTTTTTACCTACTTGTTTTAGCAATTCAAATTTAACCCTTTCTAATCCTTATAAAAACACATCATGAATAATTAAAAGAAGTAAAATAGATTTTTTTTAAAATCCATCAATTTACCAAAACTTTACTTACAGTGCTTTAAATATTAAAACGTTGACCTGCCAGCAGTGTGTATTCAACTGCCATGGTATTCAGATTGCTCCAAAATCTTAATTGCTTGTTCTCTAAGTAGGAATCATAAGAGCCACACATAGATTATTCTGTCTCTTACTTTCAATGAATTGCCCTGTTATACTTCCCCCACCCTATTTGTAATCCTGTTTTAGACCTTGTATCAATAATAGGGTATATAACCTTGATATTGGATCCCCATTTGATGATTTAAGTCCTTTTGATCTGAATTCACACTGAAGTCATTCACTTGGGTTCTCTCTACGTGCTCTTTCTCCCAGGGCGATGGCACGAGGGAGGAAAAGACCCTTTTCACTGAAGTGCCTTTTACTCAATAGTTGATGTCATCTTGAGATAGTCATTTAAAAATCAGGCCTGCCCAAGAACAGGGCTCGTTAACGTGACGGAATTAGGTCACTCAACCTTCATAGGTTAACAGATCAGTGCCTATCTTGGAATACATCTTTGGTAAACTTATTTACATCTATGTTTGTTCTTTTGCTGGCATATAAGGAAAGAGAAAATAAGTAATAAAGAGGATACAGGAAAACTTTACCCATTGGATCTTGTCATTCTCACATGAAGTTGGTTTTCCCCATAATCTTAAGCTTCATGTATTCTCTTATTGTTTCTCTTTACTACTAGTTGATTTAGCACTTGTTTTATCATAAAAATGATTAAGAAAATTACTTTGTCCCATAGGCCATTTAATAATTTGAGATTTCTAAAAAGTCTCTTAATTCTTTCTCAACACCAAAGAGCATGGACTGTCTCCAGGAGCATGTAGACTCTACAAATTAAAAGTGAAGGTCTTGTTGGCAGTACAGTTGTTTATAATCTAGACAAAGTCACAATATTTGTGGTATTAAAGATAGAATCCTTGCTAATAGAAGCATTAAAAATCTGGAACAGAGAAGCAATAATGACATGGGAGCTACACCCAAGGGAACATGCAATTTTGTGGCAGAATCGTGACTTAAATCCAGAACTATTGATTCTCAGTAT